CGGTCGTATCCGTTCGGCCGCTGGTAGTCTCATTAAGGTAAGCGCCGTTATTTGTAAAAAAGATTTTACACATTTTTCCGTGAAGTAAATAATAAAAAATCTGATGTGTACACCACATGACTTCCTTGTACGGAATATTAAATTATACGCATTTGTTTCTTGAATTTCATTTAAATTGATTGGATTGAATTAAATCTACTTCGTCGACAGCGCATAAACCACAATAGAATAAAATGCGCTCTTTAAAATTCACTATATTTGTTTACTATAACGACACTCTGTATGCACAAAATTTATATCATTTTGAAGAATTATCTTATCGTTGCCACATGTTCTATTCAAATACTATAATAAAGCTAGAACGATGTATGAAAGAAATTAAGCAAACAAAACAGAAAAGAAATAGTTTTTCACAGACGATTTAGTATTTCTCATTCAATTGATTCAGTTCTCACTTCGCGACAAGGCAAAAATACATAAAAACTCAAAATATCTGCATTAAAAATTACGAAGTAAATCTCAAACACTTATTTCCTCGAAAAAATTCCAGAAAGGATTAAGCATGATTTAATTCGCAATAATAAATGAAGGCGTTATTTTTGTTGTTGCGAAGATAAGTCTCTCTAGATTGGCAACAAATCTACAATTCTGCTGTTTCAAAAGTAAACAAATATGTTCGCCATGTTATTTAAAACTTAACAGCTTTTAAATTGTTGATAATTGTACAAATATTGCTTCCAGAATCACGAAAGGCATTAAAATCTTAACCGGAAGATAAGAACAACATAATTCAATCATTTTTAAAGCAAAAAATGTACAATTTACAAACATGTAAGAGTAAAGAAACTGAGATCACTGTGCCGAGTAACAGAGTGGATATATATATAGTATTTATATACGTTTGGTGAGGCCGATTGCAACCAAAATACTAGGTGCACATCTACATGTTATAGCAGTCCTATATACAAAATTTCAACGTTCTGAGGCAACGTACATAGGAACGTACGCACGTACGTACATACGTTCGTACAGACGCCACGAAAAATTCTCTTCAGAATTCATTTTAAAGAAGTTTTATAATTTTTTTGGAGGAAACGAGTCTTTTATTCTGTCCTTACGTACGTACAGATATCACGCAAAAACATTGTTAAATTGCATTCGATAGCTGTCAAAATGGATATTTTCGTTGAAATATGCTGCCTGAAACTTTTCGCGATAAGGAAGTAAAAAGGACACTTTTTTAACTAAAAATAGTATTAATCCTTTGAGTGACATGATAGGTGCATTCTATCTATTATTCAGAGAGTATCAGTGGCTGCATATAAGAAGAAATTTACAAGAAATTATTTATGTATTCTGAAATACGGTCATCTTATTCATAACACTTTAACCGTTTCGTTATATATAGATAATTAAGAGTTCATTTGCCTCGATACTGGTTTATATTTAGAAAAAATGATAAGATAACGAAATTCATAACGATAATATCTTTGGGTGACATAATCATAGATAAAGGATAGATGATAAACTGCAGAAGTAAAATCAGATACTCGAACACAGATTCCTCAATGAGATTTCCAAAAAAGAACGACGATTTTTATCCTAAGAAGCTTTGATTTTATTTAGTTTTCCAGAGGTATGTAATTTTCTCAATTAATAAAATTTATAATAATGTTTTAAGCCTGAAAATTAATATAAATTCCATTAACAGCGTAACAAGAAATTTTCTTTCTTGAATTTATAAAATTAAGGAAATAGTTATGCACCTTTCTATACCTACTGATGATCTACGTTAACAAATAAATTTAATCGACAGGGAAGTTGTATATTTGAGAGTTTCAAGATATACTTTGTTACTACTACTAATTAGCCTATGAGAAATATAAATAATTAAAGAATTTGGAAAAGATGAAACCAAACATGTATATGTGTGTTTAGTACATATCGAGTATTTCGACCAGATCTCGTACATCACTTTTTACAAATACGATCTTGAGATGTAATTAGAATTCTTCTAAAAATTCCTTTGACGAGAAGAATCCATATTCATCGACTGATGGCTTAAATTTTTTTCCTAGGTCTTGTTGATACCTTGATAGATAATTACATAATTAAATTCTGTTAATTTTAGATAACTTTTAAATTGATAATATTAAGGTTGTTCTCAAACGATTAAAATTTATTCGAATTGTTAATGTAATACTGTTTCCGCTCTATTTCTGCCTTTAAGAGAATAGGTATAGCAAAAGTAAACTAAATATTCAACAATCCGCAGACAATTCTATAATATAAATCTGCATAGTGCAAATTTTCTGTAAACAATTTTCACGTAAAATTTTTTCTTCATATCATTTTCATTCATATTATTTTAATCGAAGTGTTCTTGAGGTTTGTTAACGTATTCCTATGAAGCATTTCGAAATGCCGTTTATCAGGTTTCATGCTATATGCTACCAAACGTTTTGAACACAGGAGCATTTTTTTAAATTTATTTCAGTGCTGGTAAACCCAAAATTTAAGTATTCTTGAGAATATCTCCTCGAATTTTTTCGCAACCACGCTCGTCTGGGCACTTTTTGATGCTTCATTATCGTCTAATGCTCGATTACGCCCACTTATAGTAATCATCAGAATTTAAGCTATAACTTGCAGATCATGCAATCAGAATAAGAAGGGATAAGTCGCACATCCTTTAATTGATAGTTGGAAAAGGAAATACAGATATTCTTTCACAGACAATATAATTTTTTTTTGTTCTGCTGTTGAGTTGTTAAGCCTCATATCTTATGATCTGGTTTTCCCCATGTGTAACGTGTATACGAACCGGTTTCCCTTAGAAAGTCCTCCACGAAGGCATCCCCCGCTTAGGTAGATAGCCCTCGAGGCTTTACCATAATCACTCACACACATTATCTTATGATCACTTTTTGTAATTGTTATTTATGTTACTTGCATTTTTTAAATTGGTAATGGGCAGCCGTACGCTGCGCAGGCCTAATATAAGCCTGCGTAGGCCTTATATAAGCCTGCGCGGGCTTCCTTTCTGTGGTTCAAAACAAAGCAAGAAAATATTTTTATTACTGAATCATGATGCAATTCTATTTTCATACATTTTATTGTAAAGTACTCAGATAAGCAACATTTTGAGAGCAAATGAATTTTGACTGAAATAACATAATAGGAATCATGCATCTGTTAAGTGTTCTAAAAGTCAAAAACCAAATAATAGATACCACAGCTAAGATTTCATTTTGTTTCTTTATTGCATTTATTTTTAAAATGTTGATGAATTTATCTCAATTGAAATTAAACTTAAAAATGTAATTAAATATTTTCATATGTGTATCTAATCGTCTGTAGCCAAATGAATTCAAAATTTTAATTTTTAAGTTTAAAGAAGTCAGTGGGTAATTTCGTTTCCAATAGATAACTTCGAAAATGCAAAAGTTCATTTTAAATATTAATACCTAAATATGTATCCATCATACCTTTATCTCAGCAGCGGTTAAGGAAGAGGTGAAACTGTACCTATTCATTGGTTGTAAATTAATCGAAGCTCATAAAAATGTTACTAGAATGCACAACTAAGAATTGATACTTAAAATATTTAGCACTTCTATTTATCGTTCTTCCCTCCGGAAAAGTCGCAAATCATTTATGACTAACTTTTGGTCAAACTAAGACACGAAAGATAACAGCCATGGATAAAAAGGCGGTGAATTAAGAATTTCAGAACACAACTAATAAAATTAAAAACTCAAGAAATATTTATATTAAAACACATCTTCCCCGCTGTTCTTCCCATATGCACAGCAATCTGTTTTCGCTTTAAAAAATGTCAGGGAATTGTACAAATTTAGATTTATAAAATTTGATGATTTTATGAAATGCAAATTTTGGTATTTTGTATTGCTGAACAAAAAAGCCAAATTTCTGAGGAAATGCAAAGATTCCGTTTTCTTCTGTCGACAAACTTACCAGTTACATTACTAATCCTTGCAAGAAGAAAAATGTACTCGAATACAACAAAAACATACAAAACATACACTAATAAAAAAAAATAGCCGTCGAAATTTGAAGGCGGAAATCAGTTCTCGCTTCCTGCGCGAGCATCTGAGTTGACTATTAAATACGTTTTGGTGACATCATGGGATGCCTATTTTGACAGCATGGTATGTTACCTAGTACGTTTCAGTGGAGGTGCAGATAATAAAAAATAAACAAATATAAAAAAAAAAAAATCTGAAATGTTTCAGATTTTAAATTACGTCCAAAGGAGCGTTTTTTTAACATTTTGTGTGTTACCTTTCTTTATTAAATATCATGTTCCTCGCACTTAAACCATAAGATCCAGTGCAACAGCAATATCGCAAAATAGTTTTAAAACGAGCATATCTTTAGAATTTCCGATACAGAGACTCACGCGCTGGAGATAAAAATGTTTTTTTCTCTGCACAACGTTGCCATTGCTCGCTTTGAAATCCTTGAGTTTGTTAATCAAAAATTCGTCAAAGTTTTAAAAAATAGGAAATCGATCATAAAACAAATTTCAAATTTCAAATTTGGTCTTCCACATGCTCATATTCGTTGGAGGATTACGTTATTCAAAATTCGATGACTCTATGTACCGTTGTTTTATCACAATACGAGAAATATACATACATTTATGCAGATTTTTCATTATTTAATTTCTTCAAATATAATGCAGGACTCTAACATTTTGTGGCAACAGTTTGAAAAGTGAACCGACGTTTATGAGTCCGACGCAAAATGCCAAAACGAAAGCAATAGTCCTTCGGGACTGAATTCCCTTTGGACTAAAAAAAAAAAAAATTAAATTCCAGCCAGCTAACTTCGTTAATATTACGTATTTTATTCAGCATTAAACCGTTTACATAGCCTATAAATAAACCTGAATTAAAATAGAAGCAAAATGCTGTATTTTCGCTCTTTTGGAACTGCAGAAATGCTAAGTAACTTTTTTTACAGAAAACAATAAGAAAGATGCAGAAGCTTACTATCAAAAAACTGGCATTTGGATGTCTTCGAGAAAAATGGCAATATCAGGACTACTTCCACAATCACTGCAAACGTTGGAACTCGCAAGGATTCTTTGTGGGGAACAACGAAACCTTTCGAAGATATACCACATTTAACTATGCTCCCTATCATAGGAACTGCCTGGGCTTATTTACCAATCATAGGTAAGCAATTTTCTATAAAATTCTATTAATTACGCCAATTTTTTAAAGAAAGTACTATTAAATTGAATTCAGCTTGGCATGGAAATCGGTTTTTTAAAATCAAAATAAAATTATAATCTTAACATCCACTAGTATAGCAGAAAGCGTGAAAAACGTTCATATCCTAAGCGAAACATGTAAATGGTATAGGGTGTTGAAACATTTGATAAAGGATCTTTTGCTTACCTTTCTTGATGATTTTACAAGACACTTGGAATTCTTTGCCATTTTGGTTTTCACACAAAACTTTATTTATTTACAACTATTTACAACAAAAATTTTTACATTAGAACATTCATCATTTTACTTTTGTTACTACTACATTTTTATCAAAATCCGCAATGCGGTAAAACAATATAACGAGCATAAAAATAAAAAAGCCACGCGTTCTCGTGGTCAGTAACATAAACTGTAACGTAGGGTGTTACTTGATATGGAAATAATAACGCGCTCAGACTGAAGCGAATTATCCCTAGGTTTTAAGTTACTACAAGTCATTATTTTGAAGGTAATTATGAGAAGGTTAAATAACCTTTTTATTTGACTAGAATCTAGAATATAAACGCATTTTCTTGTGTTAACAGTATCAGCCACAATTCGGGGCGATGCAGCTAAGCAGGAAAAGTCAAGTTCAAGTTAAACGTAGCCAGTGGTCAATTTTAAATCTTGGGCCCTAAGCTGTCTCAGTAATTATTATCGGAGCATCAAAATCAATTTGTAAACAAATAAAAGCCGAATAAATGTAATTAATTATCCGAGTGTCAGGAACTAAACATAGCGTGCACGTGCAGCCAGGAACACGCTCTATTTTAAAATCCAAAAACCTCAGTTTAAATACCATACATCTTATTTGTATTCTGCTCAGGAAAATGGAAAGAAGAAGTTATAGTAAAGTTCCAAATCATAATAACTGATTAATTTAAAGAATAAGCCTACAGCTTTTTTAAACTGATTGCACTTATTCAATTAAATTACATTACTACTTAATACTAAAAATTGCGCTAATTAGGTGTTGAAAGGGGAATAAATGGATGACGTTAACATTATTTATTTTGCACGGGTGTTTAATTAAGGTATTTTCAAAATAATTTCGTTTACAAAAGAGATATTCAATAACGCCGTCTTGATTTAAAGGTTAAAAAAATAAATACGTAATTTTATTTACCAGGTAACTATTTTTTAAATTCTTATTTACATATTACTTATATATTCCTTAATTAATTAAAAAACACAAAGCATGTACAATACCGGAACATAAATCTAGTTAGTGTTATACCCAGAAAGCATATAATAATCACTTCCTATTTGCGGGCTCTCATAGTGTAATTGGTAGCACGTCTGGCTAGCTATCAGAAAATCTGAATTGGAGATTTCGCTAAGACATAGCTGATTTCTCCCTCTGGGAAATGTCTAATAGACTTTACACGAATAATTTTTAGTTTATACTCAAATCATTCCGCTGAGGAATTACAATATACAGTATTTACAACAGCTCCAGGAATTATATTCATTTGAAAGAATTGAAACATATTAACTATGTGAATAAACCATAAACTACTGCTAAGATCAATAAATAGTTTTAATGTAAGGAGCCATTCTTTAGGTTGTTATCTAAATTCTATTAGTTACAACATTCATTTTAATTAATACTATTCATTTTAATGACTTGTATATATAATTCCGTTTTTTAAGCAGCTACAACCTAAAAATTTCAAAGACTGACAAAAAAAAAAAAAAAAAAAAAAAGTAGGCGAAATACTTCCTATCGACGATGAAAGTCTCATTAAAATGTGTCTAATTGTTTGGAGGGGGGAGGGGAAACTGGATTCACTCTTACCTAACTTTACATTAGAGTTTATATATTTCTTTTATACATATTAAGCTTAATATATTTTACATAGTTTAAGAATTCACTTAATATTTTAAAAATTTTGATTCTGTAATGTGGATGATAAGCTTCGCTTCCACAATGATTATTCGGAGCCATTTTATTCCGTTGATTTCAAATAATAATAATAAATAAGCAAAACATATGAGAGATTTTTAAAGATCGCTCAAAAGAGTTTCAAAAGGTTTTTTACTCTCTCTCTGCACTTGCAGTTGACCAGTCTTCTCTTGCCCTTTCTCCTGCTAACCCATTTTCTTTTGCGTATTTTTAGCTTTATTATTAACCATCGTTTTCTTCGCACTTACACCACAATACAATTCAACGGCAAAATCACAAAATTTTTAAAAGCAGCATAACAGTATATACTAATTCAGAAGTCAAACAACAAAAATCAGCGTTAATTTACAAAATTTTCACAGGACTAGTTTCGATGGTTTTACCGAACCATCATCTTCAGCTGCAAAACCGCAAATGAACAAGATAGGAAATAATGTTTAGATAAGATAAGAAAGCCTGGACAAGAATAAGCAAGTGGCGCCATCTGTTGGCGAAACCAGAACTAAAACATAATTTCTCTAAAAGCCGAAGGCAAATTTGGATTGGAATTAGGATCATTAACTAGAACAGAAAGATTTTTATGAATGTGAAATGCCTCTAGAAAAATCCAGTTCTCCAATGGAAGATGTTTTTTTGAATAATTTTGGCAGCAGAAAAATTGAAAGTGTGATTTTCGGACCAACAATGTTGAGCAACTGAAGACTTCTGTGTTTCCTTTTTTTTTTCTAACATATGCCTCATGTTCTTTGACGCGAAATTTTAAGGCTCTCTTAGTTTGGCCAATGTAAATTAAACCGCACTGGCAAGGAATCCTATAAATACCCCAGGAATTCATATCTGGAATGGGGTCCTTGAGTATAGAAGTTGGAATTTTATTGATGGGAGAGTAAACAACCCGAAAGTTAAATTTCTGCAAAATATGTGTGCAACTTTATAGCTAATTGATGGAAAGAAGGGAATGACAACAGAATTTTTATAATCTCCTAAAATAAGAGTGTGGCTTTTAGTGTGTTGAGATGAGAATTTTTTAACTGCTTGATTAATAATGTTGGGTGAAAAGCCCCTGTCAATAGCTATTGCTTTTAAATAATTTAGTTCTTCATCAAGGCCTAGTTTGGGAGGAGCAAACTTGAAGAGCACGGAAAAACATAGGAATAAATGAAGCTAACTTTTGTTTAGTCGGATGACATGATTTAAAGTGTGGTGGAAGGCAAACCGATGAAGGTTTACGGTAAACTGTAGTACTGAAGTTGGATGTGATACGTGTGACCAGAATGTCGAGAAACGGAAGAGAATTGCAAGTCTCAAGTTCAAAAGTGAACTGAATAGCAGGATCAATAGAATTCATTGTTGAAAGAACTCTATTTAAATCATCTACGTAGCGGAACCATGCCGGGAAGTTTAAAGTTTCAAACAATTTTGATTCATAATAATGCATGTAGATATCAGCCAGGATGGGACTGAGGGGGCTTCCCATGGCTAATCCCTCAGTTTGCTTGTAATATTTATTTTGGAAAACAAAATGTGTTTGTTTCAAACAGAGTTGAGTGAGAGAAATTAGCTCATCAATTTCGATGCAAGAGAAATGAAATTCGCGAAGTCTGGTTTCTAGACATCTTAATGCACCCTCCACTGGGACATTGGTGAATAATGATTTTACATCAAAAGAAACCATGAGTAAATTACGAGGAGAAATGTTTTTAACCTTTTTTACAAACTCTATTGAATTTTTTATGGTGTAAATGTTATTGTCTAATAGAGTGGAAAATCTAGAAACTAAATATTTAGCTAATGGATACGAGGCAGTACCTAAATTTGATACAATAGGGCAATACAATAGGGCAAATTTGATACAATATATAAATTTGATACTCTTATTTTAGGAGATTATAAAAATTCTGTTGTCATTCCCTTCTTTCCATCAATTAGCTATAAAGTTGCACATATTTTACAGAAATTTAACTTTCGGGTTGTTTACTCTCCCATCAATAAAATTCCAACTTCTATACTCAAGGACCCCATTTCGGATATGAATTCCTGGGGTATTTATAGGATTCCTTGCCAGTGCGGTTTAATTTACATTGGCCAAACTAAGAGAGCCTTAAAATTTCGCGTCAAAGAACATGAGGCATATGTTAGAAAAAAGGAAACACAGAAGTCTTCTGTTGCTCAACATTGTTGGTCCGAAAATCACACTTTCAATTTTTCTGCTGCCAAAATTATTCAAAAAACATCTTCCATTGGAGAACTGGATTTTCTAGAGGCATTTCACATTCATAAAAATCTTTCTGTTCTAGTTAATGATCCTAATTCCAATCCAAATTTGCCTTCGGCTTTTAGAGAAATTATGTTTTAGTTCTGGTTTTCGCCAACAGATGGCGCCACTTGCTTATTCTTGTCCAGGCTTTCTTATCTTATCTAAACATTATTTCCTATCTTGTTCATTTGCGGTTTTGCAGCTGAAGATGATGGTTCGGTAAAACCATCGAAACTAGTCCTGTGAAAATTTTGTAAATTAACGCTGATTTTTGTTGTTTGACTTCTGAATTAGTATTTATTCGGCGTGTTATTGTGTCTTAATTATAACAGTATATGTTTAGAATTCCCGATACAGTGCTGGCACATATTTCTTTTTCCCTTTATTTCGGTCATTCTCAGCTCATCACATCAATGCTCAGTTTCTTCATAAGATGGCTTACAAAATTTTTTTTACCTCTTCTTTTTCTTTTTACTTCCTTGTACGAAGTAAAAAGGAAGTATTGTAATCGCGAAAAGTTTCAGGCAGCATATTTCGAAGAAAATATCCATTTTGACCCCTATCGAATGCAATTTAACGATGTTTTTCGTGATATCTGTACGTAAGCACAGAATAAAAGACTCTTTTCCTCCAAAAAAATTGTAAAACTGCTTTTAAATGAATTCTGAAGAGAAATTTTCGTGGTGTCTGTACGTACGTATGTATCTCGCATAACTCAAAAACGAGTAGCCTCAGAACATTAAAATTTTGTATATAGGA